GCGGTTATATATATATATATATATATATATATATATATTAAAGGTAAAAGTTTATATAGAGCCTAAGCTCTAAACAATTAAATTAGAGCCTATCTCAAAACTTTAAGTAGAAGAGGTTGTTTTGATTCCAAAATACCATCAAATTGATCATCTTGACATCAAGATGCATGCAAATGAGAAAAAAATGAATTTCAAGTTTTGGAAATAGTGCATCTTATAATGCATTTTTGAACTATCAATTTACAAGATTTTCAAGTTTTTATAGATCTGCTCAATTTGCATCATTTTTTAAATTTTAAATTTTATAATTACAGATAAAAATTTAATTTAAAGCTATCACAAAACTTTTCAATATTAAAACCATATTTTTCAACACTAATTGAAGGTAGCCTCTAATTTAATTGTTTCGAGCCTCGGCTCTATACAAACCGCACCGTACATATAATAATCCTTTGAGACCCTCACATATATGGGCTACATATGACCCCTTTCAATCACCGTTAAATTTCGTACATATCTCAATGATATATGGGGTGCTGAGTCGTAAATGGGGTGCTGAGTCACCCAGAAAAGACAGATAAACCAACCGATTGAAATGGTAAAAAAAATAAATGGGAAAAATTTGTTGTCATTTTTGTGAATGGACGATGGATGCACTACCCCGCTCCTTTCAGCACATCAATTAGAGGGAAACTATGTAGATGTGAATATTTTTCTAGAAAATTCTACCCCCGTTCATCTCTAATCTTCACATTCCCTCTCCCTCTCATTAAAACCCATCGTCTCTATTTCCGTTTCATTAGTTGCAGCAATCAGAGTTTGGAAAAATCGATGTGGAACAGTTAACCGGACATAGACTCAGAAAGCGGTTTAACCGGCTTAATCGATAAACCGGCTGATTTAATCATTCTAACCGGGCAAGTCCTAAGCGGTAAAAAAAGTGTTGAAAAAAAAAAAAAAAAAATACAAAAAAAATATATTGAAATATGAAAAGCATATAAAGAATGATTAAAAGAAAACACATGCAATTGAAGTTGGAAATTAATAAAAACAATGAATTTTAATAAATTGTTCTGTACCTAGGGATATTTTTAAAACTTTTTAAGAAAAATGGGAAAATAGAAAAGTGAGTATTAATGACCAAAACAATTTTTAATTTTTACCATAATATAAAGAATATTAAAAAATAGATTGTAAATAAAATTCTTTATTTTCGAGAATTTATAGACATTTTTTTTATTTTTTATTTTAAATACTAACCTATCACCAAAACTACTTAAAATCGGAATTGATCGATTCCGATCTAACTAACCGGTCGATTCCGATCTAACCAGGTACTTAGCAGTTAGATCGCTCGGTTTTCCCACCAGTAGCATCAATAGATAGTGAAAAGAATATATCTCTCTCCATAAAAAACCAGTGAAAACCAATTTTCTCTGTCAAAGAACCATGCAAATATGGGAGCCGTTTGATGGTTTTTTCATTTCTCCCTTTAAGACACACCATTTCCTCTTCTGTTCTCAATTCCAGTGATTCTGCAACCTCTGCTTTTGCAAAGAGACTGCCAATGTCCATGTGTTCAAGGCTGATCTCCCTTGACTCAAGAAAGAGGAGGTGAAGGTGGAGTTAGAAGATGAAAAGGTGTTGCAGATAAGTGGAGAGAGAAAGTCAGGGCCAGTTTTTTAAGAGGTTCAGGCTCCTTGAGAATGAGAAGATGATGGACATCTTCAGCTGATTTCTCAATTTTCCGGCAAATTTTCGGGTTTCTGACTAAGTGTAAAATGAATGTGAGAGAATGAATGATAGGGATATGCATTTGCAGGCGCATAAAAATACAGAGAATGTTGGGGTATTTCTGTGTATATCAAGCAGTGTGTTTCGATGAAAAAGAATTGAGTTTTATTGTGAAACCAAGTGAATAAAGGTTTGAATGTGTAAAAAATTGTTTCAAGTTTCTGTCTCTAATCTCACACTTTTCATCGCTCTCTCCTTCACGACCCAACTTTTATTTTGCCGAGCTAAAAGTTAGGGTTTGGGGGCTTTTAGATTGAGAAACATAGATGCAATAATGGTGAACATACACAAAAGCTCAGTTTCGGGGAAGAAAGTTGGCTTTTTACTTAGTTGCAGAGAGAGAACCGCACATATTTTTCTCTTTTTTTTTTTACCATATGTCAATCGGTTATTTTCTATTTCTTTACTGGTGACGCAGCACCCCATTTATCATTTCAATTGGTTCGTTTCTATTCCTTTACGGGATGATTTGGTACCTTATAAATCATCGAGATGTGTAATAAGTTTTAACGGTGATTGAAAAGGGTTCTATGCAGCCCATATGTATGAGGGTTTACCTCGATCATTACTCTCTAATATATATATATATATATATATAAAATAGAGTTGATATCAACTTTGACTTTTCCTATCTCTAAAAGGTATAGGTTGGACCCAAACCCGGACTCGACTGGAGTGGGTTCGAGGTCAATTATACTGAGACCCGATTCATCTAGCCAATTATCTGGGCCAAACCCACACTTGGGTTGGATCACCTCTCGGGTTGTCTGATCTGACCATTTCTCCCCCATCAACTTTGCTTTAGGGAGTAAATGTCACCCATAAATACAGTGTAGACATGACACCCAATATGCTAGGGAAAGTCTTCCCTTATGTAAACGATGGAAGAGTGCACAAGCACCCTTTCTACAGTTCTGATTGAAATTGAAATCATACCGCGTTTAACTATTCAAAATTAATTTTGTATTTTAGTTAAAATTGTGTTTTACCTAAAATTTAAAGCGTAGATTCTTTTCCATTAGTCACAACCAATAGAAATTATAGAACTTTTATTTTCAATAAATAATTGATCAAAATACCCTTAACACTTTTAAGACTAGTTTAGATAGTTTATTTCATTTAAAATATTTTTTATTAATTTTTTTGTTGTGAAATTAAAAATTAATTATATATTCAAAATTTCAGTTAAAAGAATTAAATTAAAAATTTAAAAAAAATTAATTTTCAACCGCTAGATGTGGTATTGTTCGGTATTATTCAGCACAAAACCTATTTTGGAGGTCTTTTTGAATCTAGTATTTTGGGACTACCTGAGAATCAACGGATTAATATTTTTATAAATAAACTTGAATTTTAAGTTATCTAATACTTATATCTCACCTCAAAAAAAAAATAAAAAAAAGGGAAAAAAAGGTAGTCTCTATTCATTCTTGAGATACTGTTCTTTTCAGGTGCATGGAGTGTGGGATCTAAATGTTAGTCTGTCGATATTACATTCCAAAATTTAGAATCTGAAAATTACTCCTAATTTGGCTTTACCTGAAGGAGCAAATGGACAATATATTCCTGCAGGAGTATAAATTCTTTTGGCTTATTTATTTATGAAATGATTTGTGGGAGGGTAAGGCAATAAATTTAGTAATAATTCCCGTCCATTCAAAATTTCAAATAGATAGAATCATAGAACCAAAATAAAATAAAAACAAAGAAAAATTCCAACTTTGCAGTCAACCTTACCATATTCAATCCATGCCAATCCAATCCGAAGGTGAGAAAATAATTTAGAAAGCATTCAAAGAGGAAAAAGAGTTACGTAAGAAGGTCGGGCACGCTTTCTGTACTCTCGAGTGTATAAAACTATCCAACTATCTTTTCTCAAATCTAAAATGGCCGCTGAGATTTATGTTAGGCCTCTACACTGTTTTATTTTAAATTTTTTTCTATAAAACATTTTGACACCAAAATTTGGGCGCCCACCCTCCTCTTAAACTCGCGCTTGTAAAAAAATAAAATATATATTTTCAATAAAATAAAATGATCAAAATTCCCTCTAAAACTTTTATAATTATTTTGGTTATTTTATTTTATCAAAAATATTTTTTAATATTGTTTTTCAATGAACCCCATTGAGATGATGGCGAGAACTAAATTTTATATTTATGTAATTTGTAGAACAAAATTTAAAAATAAAATGCTCTAAAGCATTCTTGATCTAGATCAAGCAGTTGTTGATCAAAATTGAACTGCTAGATGGAGGGAGTATATATCCTTCATACATTAGAGAATATATAGAAATCTTGTATATATCCTTCATACATTAGGGAATATATAGAAATCTTTTCCCAATTAAAATATTAAGTAATACTTCCTTAAAAGTGGCTTGACTGGGGAAGACAGACAGAGAGCGCGCTATTATTTAAGAAGGATCGGAGGGTTGAATGTTTGTGGGTTCTTCAACAATGGCATCATTGAGATATATTTTCATGCTCTCTCTTGGTTTTCTATTTGTTTTATACAGTGTGCAATCTGATGCAGCAGTTTTAGGGAAGACTCTCAAAAGGATTGCAAAGCTTAACAGGAACGGGCCTTACATGGGCCTGGTTATACCCAATTCCTTTGAGATGAACCCACTTCTTCAATCTCCAAGTTTTCAGCCCAATGAATCCTTGCCTTATGTTGATTTTGCAGGTAAAAATAAGGGATTCAAAACTCATCTAAAACCCATGTCCACAGGAGTTTTATTCAATTTTTTCAAACCTAGGAATCTAATTTCTGATCAAGTCTCTCTCTCAGGTAGGAGATTTCGTTTGGGCACAATAGAAGGCGAGAAGGTGATACTGGTGATGACAGGATTGGCTATGGTATGTAGTTTTATTTTTTTTTTACTGTTTTTTTAATATAATGATATCAAGATCAGACTGGATCATCCTGACCAATTGCACTGCAAACCAATGCTTTAGGCGGTTCAATCCAAACTAAAATCCAGATTGGGTCGAAAACCTTTTTTTGTTGGACAAGCTAGTTTTAACCTGCTAAATGAGCAAAAAAAAAAGGGCAAATTTTGAAATATATTATATATTTTAAATTATTTTTATTTTTATTATTTTTAAATCTGAAAAAACTGATTGAAGAGAGTATATTAGAGCAAACAAGATTTAATTGGACCCGACCCTTATAAGTTTGATGGCCAATCCAATTCTGATAAATTTACGTAAGACGGATAGCAAGGAGATAATTTTATTTATTTATTTTTTGCAGCTTAATGCAGGTGTAACCACACAGTTATTATTGGCTCTTTTCAAAGTAAAAGGAGTTGTACACTATGGAATTGCAGGGAATGCAAATCCTGATCTCAATATTGGAGATGTAACCATCCCCCAATTCTGGGCTCATACAGGGTTATGGAATTGGCAGGTAATAAAATCAAACCCTTTTTTTTTTTGTTTCAACAGTGAATCTCACCATTTTCATGGTTTTTTATTGTAAACAGAGATATGGGGATGGACCAGAAGATGAACTCCCTCTAGAATCCAATGGTGATTACACTAGGAAAATTGGTTACCTTCATTTTGCAGATTACAGTATTGATGATGGCAACAAAACCCTAAATACTTCTGAAAATCTTCTCAACAATGTGTGGTATCAACCTGAGGAGGTGTTTCCTATTAATGGGATACCTGAAACAAGGGGCCATGCCTTTTGGGTTCCTGTTAATAGCCATTATTTTGCACTCTCCAATCGATTAGAGGTAACTGTGGCTCATAACTTAACCTTGGAAATTTTCATCGAAGTTAAATTGAGTACCTAGGTAACATAGGCATCATTTTCTCCATCCCCAACACATCATGGACAGAACACTTCAAACCTAGATATTTATTTCGGACTTGGCCTCAAATCTTTTGCTATTTAGCCCTTGAGTTTGATGTTTTAAACCATGCATTCACAGTTGGACCAGAAATTTCAAACAAGAAAAATTAAGAATACTAAAAAACTACACAATTCTAGAGTTTTTTTTGGCTCAGAATCGCTAGCCTACCGAGCTGGTCAAACTTTTAGGAGTACCAAAAGGGAAAATTTTATTTTTTTAAACTCTAGTTGAAGGAGTTATAACATGGTTTAAAAAGGGTGAGAACTTTAAATTTTTTCTTAACCCGTCCCAAGCCTAGATAAAAGAGGTGGGTTGTGTTAAGCGTCCCAAGTTTGGACAAAAGAGGTGGGTTGTGTTAGGTAGACAACTAATAAAAAATTTATTAAAATTTTCCATAAAGCCGACTCTAAATATTTGGAAAAGGGTACTGATGATATGATAATAATGATTAATGAATGTCTTTCCTAAGGAGCATCTATAGAAATGTCTGTCTTTTCTTAAGAGGACCTATGGTAATGCAATGCTGTCTTTTTTTAAGAGCACCTATAGTAATGTCTTTGTCTCACTTGTAATATTTTTCATTTTTCTTAAAAAAATTAAGAAAGTATTGTTTATGCATTTAAAATTATGAATGGAGAGGGACCCAGATGAGTTTAGTTTGTTTGACCTCTTGTCGCCCTCTGAAAATGCCAGGTCAAAGTGATCCTAGAGGCTGCATGCTTCATGGGCCTTTGTACTTCTGTAGGAAAAAGTTTTTGTAAGCTAACAGGCTTAGACTGTAGCATAAGGCTGTTGATTCAACCTTCAAGTTTGCATTCACGCTGGTTATACTAGCAATAAGAATAAATAATAAAAAGTTACAATTTAAAAATGGTCGAAATCAACTCCGGGCCCAATCATAAATGCATAGAGATTCTTTGCAGTTAATTTTTGTTTTAAATTGTTTATTGGGATATTATTAAACTACCTCATGAAGTGTGAACCATTTAACATTTTACCCTGTATTTTTTATTTAATTTCAAATATCTATTGAAAAACACATGGTCATGAGTTGGAATGCTTGTAAATGGGTAAAACCTTAAATATTTCATCTTTCATGGGTATTTGGCAGCTTTTATTTATTTATATAATTAATTAAAATATTGTAGAAAATTCAGCCCAAAAAATCCCGTTGACTAGATTTTTTTTTTCACCATCTGTCCACTGTAGCACAAACTTGTAGGCACTCGGAATTTTATTTCTTTTTCCTTTTGAGAAATATTATAGGGAAAATATTCAAAATATCCATATGAGATGAACTATTTAACATTTATACTTATATTATTTAATTTAATTTTAAAATACTCATAAAAAGATGCATGATCATGGTTGGAATATTATCAAAGTATAAAATGCTTAATAGTGCATCTTTCATGAGTATTTTGAATATTTTCCTAATGTTGTATAGCATCAAAATAAAAAACATTGGTTAGTCCAAAAAGTTTATAGGCGTGTGAGGCTCTAAACAATCAAATTAGGGTGCACCTCAAAAATTCATTAGAAGAAGCAAAATTGCTCAAATTCATCATCTCAGCCTCAAGATGTATGTACATGACAAAAAAAATGAATTTCAAGTCTTGGAAATAGTGAATCTTGTAATGTATTTTTGGACCGTCAATTTTCAAGTGTTCATAGATCTGCTCGATCTACACTATTTTTCAAACTTTAAATTTTATAATTAGATATGAAAATAAATTTTTAGGCCATCACAAAGATTTCCAGTACTGAAACATCATCTTTCGATACTAATTGAAGGGGCGCCTTACTTCGATGGTTTAGAGCCTCGGCCTTATAAAAACGACACCCTTGGTTATGTAATCAGTAAATGCATTATCCTTGCCCAGAAAAGAAAGAGATATAACATACACAGGTGGCATACAGCTCAGGATGCACCACTAGGTTTTCATAATCCTGTTGTGGTGGAAATTTCCCAAGGAAATGCCCATCAATGAGGATAAAGTTGCTTCATGAAACCATGATGATTGTCTGGTGACATAATTCATAATCATGACCAGTTTGGATGGTATAAGACCCTTATTTGGTTACATCAAAATTAAATATTGAGCTTGCCTAGTCTCAACCTTCTCCAACAATCCTTAATATTAGGACCATGTGACCCATTTTGTAGTTCGCTCCTAGTTGGAAAGGCCAAAAGGGGAGCATTTAGCTTTTTTTTTTTTGATTTTTTTGTTAGATCAATAGGGAAGATATGCCACTACACGTTTTAGAAATAATTAGTAGTTTTTGAATGCATAAGTTAGAATACAAATTTAAACTAATAGCTAACCTAGCTACCACCACGATGTCAACTCGATTTTCTTCTTTTCGGCTTTTTCTTGACAAAGAATGATTTTGGAGAATTACTGCAAAGAACAATCAATTTCACCAATGAGGATAAAGTAGCTTTCCATGTGGGAAAGATTTGTTTGGGCTCGGACTGGCTTGGGCATGGTTATTATGGATAGGGTCGGACCAGGTTGGGCCAAAAAACCTAAAATTCTAACCCAAACCGGGTTGATATTTTTGGGCAAGGGGTTACGCTAGGGTTGGCCTGGCATAGCCCCACAACTGCCCGACATGTATGAAGAAAGAATGTTAATAGTAAAAAAAATACTCTTACCTCCTTCGCTCCAATTCCAGAGGGCCAGTACACCATAGTACTGAAAAACCCATATGGGATTGGCCAGTGGGATTTCTGATTGGTGTTGGGACGAGGCTGGTTCAAATAAAAGTTGGGTTTATTGGAAAATCAGTTTAAATCAATATTTAACTACTCGACTGGGTTTTGACCAGTTAAACTAACTAAACAAATTTTATTTTAATTTATTTTTCATTTAAAAATGATATTGCTATTGCTTTTTTTTAAAAAAGAAAAATTCAATCCAATAGTTTTACTTGTGGCCAAACATATTTTGACTTGAAAAAACCCCTCTAACTGTTGGGTGGTCTATCCATTTCTGATATGTTTTCTTTCTTGAGTATACAATACATGTTCCTAAACATTATTCACCTCTCTCCATGAATAAATCATGTATGGTCCACGGACTTTACTCACCAACCCTTCTCTCTCTTTTCTTTTCTTTTTTTATGAGAAAACCTACCCTTCTCTATGTATGATATATGGTACCAGAGTTTATTTACCAACCCTTCTCTCTCTCTGTATGTATTATATACAGCATAGAAGTTCTATCCTCCCCTTTATCCAACCCTCTATTCTGAATAGAGGGTTAAGATTGCCCCAATCACAATGTCACGTCTTTATACTATTTTATTTTTAATTTTTTTTCTATAAACGATTTTGACACCAAATTTTGGACGTCCATTCCTCTATTAAACTCACACGAGCAAAAAATATAAAAAAATTTATTTTCAATAAAATAAAATGATCAAAATACCTTTGAAAGTTTCAAGAGGTAATCATTATATTTTATCAAAAAATTATCTTTAAATATTTTTTATAGGTGCACCCCAATGAGAAGATGTTATCTACCAAATTTTATATTCATACAATTTGTATAAAAAAAAAAACTAAAAATAAAATATTTTGAGATGTCGGATCTAAGATCAAACGGTGTGTGGCTCTTTTGATCAAAATTGAACGGGTGAATGGTAAAAAGAGTATAGAACTTTTATGTTGTAGGGAAAGCGTAGAAACCTTTCCCTTCCATATGGTCCTCAGACATTACTCATCAACCCTTCTCTCTCTATTTATTATATGAGGTCCCAAGACTTTACTCACCAACCCTTCTCTCTCCCTCTTGCAGAACCTGAAACTTAAAAACTGCATAAACTCTACAACATGCTTGTCATCTCCACCAGTTGTGAAGAGAGTTGCAAGAGGGAGCAGCAGCAGCATATTTGTAGACAATGCGGCCTATAGAAGCTTCATTTACAACAAATTCAATATAAGCCCAATAGACATGGAGAGTGCAGCTGTTGCACTGGTTTGTCATCAACAAAAAACCCCTTTCATTGTGTTTAGGGCTCTCTCTGACTTAGCTGGAGGCGGTGAAGCCCAATCAAATGAGGCTTCTATTTTCGCTTCCTTAGCAGCCAACAATTCAGTCACAGTGGTGGTTCAATTCTTGAAGCACTTGCACTCAGTTAGAGGTGCAAATTGACGATTTTTTTTTATTTTTTGTAGTTCAGTTTGAGAAAGGTACAATACTTGTGGTAAGAATGATTTCGAGATATCATGTTGTGGTGCTCTGCTACCCTAACCACTTAGCCTTTGAACCCATTTAAAACATATAATCTATAATATCAATAGTGCATGTAATTTTCACAAATTCTAATCAATATTCAGAAGCCGAAGCATGAGATAAAGTTGCCTTAGCAGCAATATTCTATTAACTAGGCACGGGTGTCACACTCCGCCTTGGCCCGAGTCGTGTTATTGTAAAATATGGATTATTGAAAAATCAATTTAGGGCTTGATATATAAAAATCAAAATTAGAGGGAAAAAAAAAATGGAGCATATAATAAAAAAAAATTAAATAAAATATCATCATAAGATAATAAACAAAAAGTTCTAAGTCATTTATTAGTTATTATTTTTCAAAAAAATTCTAAAAATATTTAAGAAATATAATTCGGGCTCAAAAAGTCATCTCGGAAGCGTGCGAGGCCGAGTTACTTGTTCTAAAACATTGCTCAGTGCAAAGATCTATCATTTAGCCTGGCAGATAAAGGGAGGAAAGCTAAGAATGCAGAAATCCATCATCTGGTACTACTGAAAAAGATTGAAAAGCTAAGAAAAAGTGCTTTTTGGGGCATCTAAATAAGTAAAAACTGCTTAAATTAGAGTTTTCTCTTATTCCATTTCACTAATTCCTAGAGATCAATTATTCTTGCTGGTTTGGATTTACATAAGGTTGCAACCTTACTTAGTGGAAGTAGGTTGCCATGCTCCACACCGCTATTTTAGCCCCATGGTGGCATATCTTTTAAAATAGTGTGAAGACTAATACGTCTTTTAAGATAACGTTAAATGTACATTATCTAAATAAAATAAACGATATAGATTATTACAACCTTACTTCTACATTTATGACCTTATATTTATGTGAATTTTCAATTAATATTATAGAAATTGGCCGACCTGCCATTGTCCCCTTTATAAGGTGCGTCAAGCAAGGCCGGACTGAGCTTAAGGCCCGGTAATGTACTTGACCCGCTTGCACCCCTACCCCTCAGGATGGAAAACACACGCAAGGATTTAAAAATGTTATCTTCATTAAATACGTAACTTTTCAATAAATTGATCTTCGGGACATCTTTATTTGCCTTCATGATATGCCTACATTTCAGAGGTAAGTCCTCACAAAATCTTGGGAATGAATTGAAGGGGATATGTTTGATAAAATTGAACTTCAGGAAAAATATCATTGAAGGGGATAAAATTACAATATAATTTAAGGGGTCAAAATATTTCTAGTATTTTCATCATGAGGATATGCTTTTATTTTTAATTTCAATTAGATACTTTCGGAATAATTTTTTTTAAATTATATTGCCTCTATTTGGTATTTAGAATGCAGAATAATTATGGGTATTTATATAATTTTACTCCTAAGAGGCTTCAACAAAATGATGAAAATAACCCTAGTTGTTCTACATTACGAATAAAGAATATACTATTCAGTATTAATAATGCAGAACAACTAAGGTTATTTTTATCATTTTACACTTAAACACTATGCATGTTTCGGATTATGAAAATGCCCCGCGTTATTCTATATATTAATACTGAACATAGCGTTTCTTATTTGTAATGCAAAACAATTAGGGATAGTTTCCTCGTTTAATTGACAACTCTTTGGGTCAAATCTCTGCAATGCCCCTCACTGTTTCTCATTCCAAATACTAGACAAGGTATCTAAGTAAAAATAAAAATTAGACTCTCAAATGATTATAATAAGAATAATTTGACCCGCTTAATGGCTTTTTAAGGGGTTTCATGCAATTTCTTCCCTTGAAGATTTTTTGTGTTGTGGATAAGAGATAGTAGGGAAAGAGAGTTAAAAGGGAGCAGGGGACTTTTACTGCAGCTTTGGGAGTGGACGTAAAAAAATGGAGACTATGGATAGCATGCCCCAAGATGCAAAACACAAACTCTCTCTCTCTAAAAACATACACATAAATTTTTAGAAGAAGGTGCAAATCACAAAATTTTTAGAGGAAGGTGAAAGTCAAAAGTCCAAAGAAGTGTTCAACATTCCCAATTGCAACTATTCCAACTCAACACTATTTGTATTTTGAAATTAAATCAAAAGATATAGGTAAAGAGTTAAATAGCTATCTCTCGTAAGTAATTTGATAAATTTCCCAAATCAAAATTATAGTACTCAAAAGTAAAACACCCAAATGAAATATCTTCCGAGCTCGAACGGGTGGCGAAGAGCAGTATCTTCTATATGGTATGCTATGCTCTAAATAAACATTCCAAGAAAAAGAGAAAATTATAGATATGAAGGCTTGGAGTTAAAGTCATTCAAAAATCAAATCACTCCATAAGTTTGTCTCTTTTCATGTCATTCAATTCTCAATTAACCCCCCCAAGCATATGTCTCTTCTCTCAACATTAAAAAAATCCAAATTTAAACTATGTTTTAAACCATAATAATCAAGATTGAATGGCCACTAGGTCAGACCGGTCCAATTGCTGTCCAGTGTGTTGGTCGGTCCTGTTTAAAGTAAGAACCTGGTTTTTGTCAAAAATTAGTCAAAATTAGTGTTTTATAGGTCTTGGCTCGTTGACTTTGACTAGTTCAACAGTCTAAACAAAATTGAGAATTTCTTTTGTAATGTATGTCATATCTTAAACTTTTTTTTTTTTTTAATATATGGTTGAACGAGTGTACCTATCCATTATCTCACTATATCATTGGCCAGTCCGATCCTGATAACTACGTTTTAAAATACTCCATGATAAAAATCTCGCATATTTTCAGGCCACGGTTTGCCGCACCGAAATTTATTGAAAACTCAAAACACTGCCCATTAAAATTGGGTTTGGAAAGAACCCCTTCTATTCCTTTTCCCGTTAAAGAGTACAATGACATGGCAAAACTATTGCATTTATGGTTGACAATCCCGAGAGGGCGGCCCATGGGCTTCCTAAATTAATAGGGCTGGGAAACAGGTCAAATGGACCCGCCAACTCGATGGGTCGACCCGGCCTAGGTTTAGGTTCAGGTCTAGCTACTTAACTAGATGGCCGGTTCAGGTGTTCTCCGGTCCCCTAAACGGTCCAATTGGGTCATGCCAGGTCAGCCCGACCCAACCTGTATATTCTACATGTTTCAAAATTACAAAACATATAAAATCTATATTAGATGTGCACTTCTATTTTTTTATATTCCAGGTCGGGTAGGGTCCTGGTTTGGGTCTGCCCACTCTCTCGCTGGGTCGGGCCCGACCCAATCTGTTTACACCCCTACTGATTGAGTTCGGGTTGAGCTCAATTATAAGGCCGGTGGGCCCGCTCTTGTTTGGGCAATGCTTGGCTTAAATTCCATGTTGCATTCATCTTTTATGGACATCAATCTGGATAATCTCCAACTATCAACAAGTGGTAAGCTTCAAATATTATAGACCATGGTCTATTGGACTACCATATAGTCAGTTGCTAATGCATCTCTCTCCTGTATAATACTTTTACACATATCATACATTTGCTGTGACTTGGGCTCAAAATATCATGTGCCATAGTATTTCCGGTGGTTGCAGTACGTATGTTGTGACTTGTGCCATTATTCTTTTGTTCTTGTTTCAATTTATAATGTGTTTATCAAAAATAAGTATATATTTCTTTCCTTGGTGTAATTTCATAAATTTATCTTTCAACTATTTGTTTACCCAACTAATTTCACAAATTTATCTTTTAACTATTTGTTTACCCAATTTCTTTTATCTGTATACTATTATTGTCTTGTTCTTGATTCAATTTTTAACAGGTTATTGCTCACCTAAAAAAAGGTACATATATTTTTCTTTTGTATAATTTCACAAATTTATTTTTCACTAGAATTTGCATTAATTGGAGGAAATAAGTAAAAAAATTGTATTGGAGGAGAACTTTATTAGGATATGGAGCAACTTTACTATACCATAAAAGAAACGGATAAGCAAGAAATGGGATGAGAAATTTACGTATACCGAACTTTCTACAATAAGGAAATGAATAAAAAAAAATTTACAATAGAATTCAATGGAATTTTATTAGGACATGGAGGACATCGATAAGTAAGGAAATTTTTACTATTTTTACTATTAAATTCAATGAAACTTTATTATGACATAGAGGAAATGAATAAGGGAAATGAATAAAGAAATTTCTACAATAGAATTCAATGGAACTTTATGAGGACATAGAAGAGATAGATGGGCATCTTCCCTTTGTTTACTCAATTCACATGATGGGGAACTGTCTTCATGGAATTCACATTCTTTACTCAATTTACATGATAGAAAACAATTCGCATGATAGAGAAGAAAACTTTACTAGAGCATGAAGTAAAAGAATTCCTATTATTTACTCAATTCGCATAATAGGGAAGATAATTTTACTAGAGCATGGAGTAACGTTACTACTGTATAGAGGAGATCGATAAATAAGAAAATTTCTACAATGGAATATCATTATCGTTGCCAATTAGAATTTTTAGAATTTTTATAATAGAATATCATTATTGCTGCTAATTAACTCCTTATGGAGATTTATTATTTTTACATTTTTATTATGGATTTATTAATTTTCTAAAATTAAAGATTATAAGATATAAAATCAATATAAATACTACAGGTAACCCATAATGTTAAAGCTCAAATTTGATCTCATTTTATGGAATATCAATCAAATGTATTATTCTTAAATTTGATCTCATTTTATGGAATATCAATCAAATGTATTATTATTTTTAAAAAGAATTTTAATTTAGCAAGTATTCAATTTAACCACCTGTTTTTAATAAAAAAAAAAGATTCGGTCATGTTAGGTACTTTAGGAAGAAAGAGAATAGCAAAGCTCATAATAGAAACGCCATCTCTTTACTCAACTTTATCATATATCCCAATCTATTGTTAAAGATTTTTCTCAAAATTTGAATATGAAATTTGGTTCGATTTTTCAATAATAAAGTTTCATGGAGAAAGATTTAACTTTATAATTTAAAACTTCTTAAAAAGTATTTAAAAATGAATATAAAAGAATATAAAATAAAATTAGTCCTAAATGTCAGTTCATATATCATATGAACCT